TTCAGTACGCGGACTAGTTGGGGAGCTGGAAGATGAGAACTGGCGACTTTGTAGTACAATTGTAGTACGCGGAGTAGCTGCGGAGCTGGAAGATGAGAACTGGCGACTTTGTAGTACAACTTGAGTACGCGGAGCAATCTGTGGAGCTGGAAGCTGAGAAGTGGCGACTGTGTAGTATAACTTGAGTACCCGGAGTAGCTTGTGGAGCAGGAAGCTGAGAACTGGCGACATTGTAGTACAACTTTAGTACGCGGAGTAGCTGGGGAGCTGGAAGATGAGAACTGGTGACTTGGTAGTACAACTTTAGTACGCGGAGTATCTGGTGAGGCGGAAGATGAGAACTGGTGACTTTGTAGTACAACTTTAGTACGTGGACTAGTTGGGGACCTGGAAGATGAGAACTGGCGACTTTGTAGTACAATTGTAGTACGCGGAGTAGCTGGGGAGCTGGAAGCTGAGCACTGGCGACTTTGTAGTACAACTTTAGTACGCGGAGCAATCTGTGGAGCTGGAAGCTGAGAAGTAGCGACGTTGTAGTACAACTTTAGTACGCGGAGTATCTGTGGAGCTGGAAGCTGAGAACTGGCGACTTTTAGTATAACTTTAGTACGCGGAGGAGCTGCGGAGCTGGAAGATGAGCACTGCTGACTTGGTAGTGCAACTGTAGTACGCGGAGTATCTGGGGAGCTGGAAGATGAGAACTGGCGACTTTGTAGTACAACTGTAGTAGGCGGAGTATGTGGGGAGCTAGAAGATCAGAGCTGGCTTGGTAGTACAACTTGAGTACGCGGAGTATCTGGGGAGCTGGAAGATGAGAACTGGCGACGTGGCAGTAGAACTCCAGTAGGCGGAGGTGACTTGCGAGAGGTCAAGAACTTGTGAGATTTCCTGGAGGCGTGCACGCTGCGTCTCGCGTTACCAGCAGCATGCTCACGATGATGAGCTGGGCTGTCACCGCTTGGCCGCTGGTGGGGGGTTTGGGAGGCCTGCGCGCTAATTCGTTCACTATAGGTACAGTGAAGACCTTCACCAGCAGCAGACATGGACATACACACACACAGACAGGGACTCATACACACACATCACACACAGAGACCCACGCACTGCCTCAACTTACTCGGACACACACACACACAGATAGAGACTCATAGACGCACGGACATAGATACACGCGCAGAGACCCACACACTACCTCAACTCACTCGACTTAACACTTCACACTGCACACTTAACAGATAACTCACACTCTGACTTCCTACGTGATGAAAAATGCTTTCGGGCCACTCGTCGTCTAGTTCAGATATCTGCAAGCATGCTCCGCCTTGGCTTCAGTGCGAGAAGACTCTGCCCAATAAAACAATGTGTACACAAGACCACTAGTTGTAATCGCGCTGGCATCCAGCATGTTTGCCTCCAACCTGTGCAAAGCACTCCGTCACAAGCAGACCAACAAGCAAACAAATTAACTACCAATGATTTCCATTCCCCTAGCTGAGGTTGCAGAAAAAACTACTATCACAGTGAAACTACCCTGGCCTTCCTGAGGCCATGCTCGGTTTGATGTACATGCATGCGCCCAAGTTCTTTTGCGCATCGTCCTCACCAATTTTCTTTGCTATGCTCGTTGTGAATTTTGAAGAGGATTCTAGTCGTTCACCTTGAAGAAGACCAAGGAAAGTGTCATAGAAGTACCCAATGTTCCACCAGTAGTCTTCACCATGCTCATAGGCAACACACGTCGGAAGCATCTCTTGAAGCTCCTCAAAGAAGTAGACTGGCTGGCGCAGTAGCTGGCAGTCTAACAGCATCGCGAGCATGGGGCTCAACATGCTCCATGGGGGACAGGTCACAAACAAAACACAAGAGTTGAGTTGAAGAGTTCAGTTGAAGCATTGTGATGACAACTTATTTGCTACAAGAGTGAGTGATGTAGTTTCACCAAAGACGCTCTAACTAGCATTCATGAATTGGGCCTACATACAAAAGACTACAGACATACACTAAGAACCCTCAGCTACTCTCCCAAGTTGAGTTCACTGGACAGTCATTGTATGTCCTCATCATCAGCAGGCCATCAGATAGCTAGCTGTCTTCACACAGTCATCACCCAATGAAACACATTGGCCGCAATCTCTTCCTGGGCCGCTTGGATATCCTCCGGATTCACAACTGCCGCCGCCTCTGTCTCCTCATCAGGGTTCTCCTCCTCGCCAACTGCCACTGCGCCTGCAGGAGCCGGGACAACAGCCATTGCCGACGGAGCACTGGGCAGTCCAACAGCAGGTGACAGAAGACCAGGCTGTCCACCATCAGCACTGCCCCTGATGGTGTCAACGACAATCAAATTAATTGTAACATGACAGGCAACAAAAAGAACATGACACCCAAAACATTGTGGGAACACATCGCCAAGACTCGAGGAAGCATCCGGGCGACAGCGAAATGGACAGTCTTGTGGACCCTTGTTCGCACAAATGCACCACTCAATGAGGCATAGTCGATGAAAGGTGTGACCACAGAAGATGGCTTCCCGAGCTTCATGGTTGCACAGCGGCCCTTCACCTTCCTCAGGAGGAGAGGCCTTGGCAGCAGCCTTTGCTGCGCAGCATGCGCCCATCATCAGACATCAAAGGACGAGGAGGTGGAGGGGTCGGGGCTGCTGCTTTCGGAGGCGCAAGTGGACCACCCTGAACTGATCACAAATGGTTGCATGCAACATTATTACACATAGTCACACCCTCTCCTATATATAAGACTATCAAACAACATAGTCTCAAATCAGCTCAGCAGAGGAGCAACAGAGTCAGACTCAGCAGGCAACAAGCCAGGGCTTCGTACAACTGGGACAGAAGACTGAGCCACAAACATCTGAGTCAGGTCGCCACTCTTTGGCGGGGGTGCTTTGGGCCGGCGCCTGTTGGTGATCAGCCATTCATCCTGCCATCCCAAGTCACAGGCAATGGCTCGGATGTTCTCATCCGTCAACACCAGGCTGAACTTGTTGACAACCTGACTATTGAAGACGTCTTGGCTCACATTCTGCGCAATGCGTCTGTGGGAGCTACTCATTCTGCTGGTGAACTGCGAATACTTGGTGATGCCTGAGCAGGATGAGATAAATAAACACTCTGACTCTCACTCATTGTTGTGTGTCTGTCAGTTGCAATCTGGTGTCTGTTTTATGTCTGTTGTATGACATTCAGTCAGGACACGCAGGTCTGAGATCTTCACACAAGGTTTGACCCTGCAGTAAAGCCACAGGACAATGAGACAACCATCAGAGCTAAGTTCTGAGGTGAACGAAGCGTCCAGTTGCCCATCCACTGCCTCTAGGGACTCTGAGACCCTATTGCGAGGAAGTTGCTTGACATACGTCACTGAGCGGGAAATTAAGGCATCTGGTAGACGCTGGTGGTGCTGGACACCATCCTCTGCTGGTACAGCAGACGACTCCTGCCGCAAAGGAATGCCTGCAGCCTTGGGCGGGACAGTAGACGACACGGACGCCTGCTCATCTTCTGAGGTGTAGGTGTCACCTTCCCCCACCTGAGACTGAGGTGGGTGGAACATCTGCTGAGGCATCATCCCACCATACCATCTGCGGCATCGGCGTCATACCTCCAGGCAACATAGGCGGCGCCCCACGAGCCTTTTTCTGTGCCCGGTTCACTGCGTTGACCACCGACATGGCAACAGCAAGGTAGTCAGACTCAACAATAGACTTTGAGAAGACAGCTGACTGCAGCAGTCATATCACGCTCCAGTTTGCATGTGAAATTATGTTTTTGCATGTTTTTACATATTTTTGCATATTTTCTCATGTTTCGAGATTTTTCGAGATTTTTTGAGATTTTTTGAGTTGTTAAAATGATTTTCCTTTTAATCCCCTCGAGATTTTTTGAGATTTTTCGAGATTTTTAAAGATTTTTTGAGATGTTTTGAGTTGATTGCTGCTAAGATTTTCATTTTATTTCAAGATGTGCATTTATTGCTTTTATTATTCCTGTATTCTTTTCATGTTTTCCTATTCCTCTTTCTTCACTTTTGTTGTTGCATTTATTCATCATCCCAACTGCACTGCCAGTTGCTCTCCTACTAAGACTACACAACAACACCAGTCATGACACATGCTCACACTGCATATTGATTTGCTTTGACTTCGCATTTTTCCTTTAATTGTCAGTCTGGTAGGCTGCGCAAAGTTAAAATCTAATTACCACTCTGCTAATTAACCACTGCACATAAATCAGTGATTATGAATTATCAAGGGCTACTAGTGATCTACAACAGACATATCAAATGATAAACTGCTCCTTCAACAGCTTCTCATTGACAGAATGTCTGCAATCATGCATCATGGTCTCAAACGTCCTCTTGCTGAAAAGTGGTACAGCAGAAAGAGCCTCAGTGTTGACCTTCTCCACCAGGTCCTTCAGCAGCTCAGGAAGCTCAACGCCTGCTGATGAACATCTTCGCATCAATGCTCGAATTGCCCTTTGCCGTTTCAGACATCTTGTCATCTGACTGTTGACTGGCAGGCTGCCATTTGTCTCATCCACACTGCGGACAGTCTCAGCCAAATTGAAGAGATGGTCCATCTCAAAGACAACAGCAGACTGTTCTTCAGACCCCTCAGCCATGTCCACAAAAGCAAACAACTCAGACCTCTGACACATCTCCTCCACAGTAGCCAGCGCCATCAGTCAGTCAGTGCACTGTGACAAAAGCTGCTGAACGCGTTTGTCTTTGTTTCGTTTTCTGTTTCCAGGGACTGCGATGTACTTAGTTGAAAGTGGTGCAGTTCTGATGTTGTTCACCCTCTAACATCTACCCCAGCCCTCGCTGTAAGAGTTCACCATGGAAGCATGTCACATTCAGGATTGTACATTGCACTGACAGAGCAACAAATCATTGCTAATATCTTCAGGCCAGACTCAGGCTGAGGATTGCGCACAGGCTAAACGTCCACAAGCGATGGTCTTGCCCAGGCTTCACAAACCACCAAGCGTGGGCGCAACAAAAGGGAAAGACAAACACCCAACAACATCAGTGTTTGGGGATTCCATGTTCAGGTCGCAAAGAGGTAACAATGAAACAAACACACAATACCACCTTCTAGTATCCATTGCCAGGGAAGGCAGTAGATATCGCCCCAGGGAAGGCAGTAGATATCGCCTAAACAAACCAAACATCATGAATATATCATCTCATCGAGGAGAACCTGTAATGTGGCCTCAAAGCACCGCAGGCAGCACAAATGAACACAATTAAAATTACAAATGCTCCAAATGCAAAATGCAACATGACAAAAGACGGGTTCATGCAGCGCCTACCTACCAAGGTATGGGATTCACCCCAATGTCAAGGACACAGTCACACAAGAGATTCAGACACCAGGAATCAAACACACACACAGCTTATTTTGTCTAGTGTCCAGGACTACCATCACCTGCGATCATCATTTGCTCGGATGTCATACCGTTGCTCATCAGCTTTGAAGCCATCAGGATACAGGGTATCAGCTCAGACCAATGTAAACAATCATCAGACTCTAAGCCAACGGCTTTGCTTGCCATTTCCTGTTGGCTGTCCAGACTTCCAGCCAGACCCATGTTCGTATCCAGCCAAAATGGAATTTGCACTCATCACGACAGCAGACTCAGCAGACAAGACACACTGTATAAGATTGAACTGATGATATGCCCTGTGCCTCCACTTCAGCACCGCTGCACACTCTGCAAAATGCCAAGGAAGCAAACATTGGAATCTGACAGTTGGAAAAGTGTCTTGACTAATCTGCTTGAAGACACTAGACTCAGCACCTTGCCATGTCTTGGCCCACCCGCATTCATCCTCACACGAAGGAACTCCTGCACAATTTACACTCAAGCTTGCCATGTTGAGTTGAAACACCAACCCCAATGATTCTAATCACAAAGCAGCTACATCAAGTGACTGGCTGCTCATTTGTCTACAAGAGAGGAATAATGATTTGGCTCTATTGGCAAGCCTTTGAAACAAAACTCTGTCGTCGCCACTGCCCAGTCAGGCCCATGTTTCACTCCACACATGCAAAGTTATGCGTGAACAACACTTACAATTGACATCAGACTGACACACAACTAGACTAGCGGCCAAACTGGACACTTCAACAGGGCCACAGCAGCTCAAGATCCTTCCCGTGACTGCTCAGACGAATCTTCCACCTCAAACGATTCGTTCCAATCCAGCTCATGGATCTCAGCCACTTCAAACTGAGGCACCAAAGTCTGCAAAGCCAGTGCAAGGAGATTGCAATAATAACATCAGTGCACAATTGATATGAACTACCTACAGATAATTCATTCATGCATTCATGACAGGCTTCAAGAGACATCACAGAAAGACATGGTGAACAGAATGATTGCACTGACACTGAACTATCAGTCAGTTCTTGCCTTCACCCTTTTGGTGAAGAATATACCAGACTGGACATAGACAAGCCTCCTTCCTCCTCAGTTTGCCAATGCAACACAACACAAACAAGTAACATTCACCTCATCCTGTAGTCTTCAGTTTGCATCAGTCAAACAAGACAAACAAGCAATGATATAAACTTTGAAGGAAGGACAGTGACTGAGGTGTCCACTCATCTGGAATTGCTGAGACTCATTCTCATTCACTGACGGGATCGCCTTGTAGTTCTGACCATTGATGGGCAAATGAACCTCACATCCTGGCATCTCCTATCAGTAAAAGAACAAGCGCCAAACTAAGTTGCAAAACAGGCCACCAAGTGCTATGACAAGACAGGCTCACTCCTGATTCAGCCAGCGCTCCGCCTCAGCCTTGCTCATACCCTGGTCATAACCACTTGCCCCAGTTGAGGACATGCCGTTCAAAGGCCTCCTGGATGAACCTTGCTGGATGGAATTCCACTCACAGGAAATACTTACACCCTAGTGGCAAGACTTGAGCAACAAATCTGGATGGCAAAAGGCACATATTGAAGAGCTTGCCTCAGACACAGTCAGGTCGCCTCACAGCTGGGTGCGCATCAGGTTTTGTCACCTCGTCCATTGTGATCTTGTAGCCGCCGTCACACCTGAGCCAATTGAAGACAGGCAAAAAGAAGTAAACACCAAGGCATCAATGGACCACAGGTTTTGACTTGCTACCTTCATTAGACTTGGGCGCCAGACTCAATATAGGGCTCAGGAAATGGAATGTGCGAGGAGATGGTACGCAGCAACTTCTTGGTCCTGGGCTGGGGTGTCTTTGGTTCCATGTTGAATACACATTACTTTGTATTCTTGACATATCATTTGCTCAAACACACACACAATGGGACTGAGCATCACATCAAACTTGTTGTCATCCTCAAGCATGTCCCTGTAACTGGATAGCAGCTGCCAGGACAAATCGGCGCCAACGTCAGAGGACAGGTAGCTGGAAACCAAAACTCCAGACTCCGATGAGACCATGGCACAGAGGCAGCTACTATTACAGCTAACAGCAGACAAGTGTACCCAGGACGACAGAAGACTTTGAACCAAGGCAACACGCAAGCTTTGACTGTGCACAACACATTAATAATGTTGCGGTTTATTTGCACATTCACTTCACTCATGTAGTTCCTGAGTGCGTGCAACACACCACACACATGCTGAGACCACTGACCAGTCCTGCACTGACACATCCTTGTAGCCAAATCATTCTCCTGGCATCGCAGTGGGTGGCAGGTACAATAATTATGGAACAGGTCGCCATTGGTGATACAACATCAGAATACAGCAGACTGTTCCTTTCAATGCCTGCAATTTAATAAGACAAAGCAAGAATACTGGAGTAACAGTAATGATGTTGTTCATTGTGGCGTTCACATTTCAACAAAAAGGACAAGACTGACAAGTCTTGTCAAACCAACAGTCGCAAATGCCAAGCCATCCACTAGCGCCGTCCACGACTAGGAGCTTCAAGCCTGAATGTTGGAGAGGTGCATGCCAGGAACAAGTGTGGTAGTATGCCAAATTCAAACGTTCTTTGCATTGGTTGTGGTTTGCAAGTTGCAGGAGCAACAATTCAATCCGGCTCAACCAGTTCAGGCTATCATCAGACACTATGCAAAACATCTGCAGTACTCCTGACTTCTACCTGCTGCACTGCTGTTGGTTCGATCTTGAGCTTGCTGCATCCTTGCCATCAAAGTAGACAGTCGCAGTCACTCCTGAGCAATGGAAAAGACGGAGGAGTTGTGAGATACCATCAACTCTGACAAACATCAATTTGATACAATTTTAAATTCTGCTACCAAAACATCAGAGACAATGCATAAGCGGTGTCATCTTGACTAAGCTGATTTCCATCCACTTCAAGAGAATACTAGGTACCATCAAACTCTGACAAACATCAGTCTGACAAACTAAACTACCAAAACATCAGAGACAATGAATGCATAAAGGGTGTCATCTTGATTAAACTTGTTTCCATCCACTTTCAAGTTCATGCTCAGTACAACAGACCCATCCAATATCTTGAGATTTCAGAAGACTGAGAACCAGCCCAAGCAGCATTTGTGACGATGCCCTGGCGCATTGATACAACAAACAGCAATAAATCACTTGTGGTCAGAATGAGGCTGTGCTGCAATACAAAAGGCACACAAACAGGTTGTTCAGGCAAACCATGACTTCAAAACAATTTAGTTGG